GGGCGGAAGGGAGGCATCCGGGACGGTCCAGAGAGAAAGCCAGGAGGCTGGGGAGCCCTCCCTGGGAAGCCGGCCAGAGACTGCGGGGCCAAGCCTTGCGCGCAACGAGGGGGTCCCGGCCGCGTCTCCACGACCCCCCAGAGACAGAGATTCCCGGGGAGGGATCAGCGGATGGGCAGAGAAAGAAGGGGGGAAACACACACACACTTTGGACAGGTCGCAATGCGTGTGTGTTTCGTTCACACACATATCTATGAGGCTTTCCACGCACTTAAAGTAGCCTTATAGGTTGCTGGAGAGGTCATGGGTTGGGCATCGGTTGGGAGTTCCATTCCTTCCTTTCCTGGACTCCTTGTTAGGGGGCTGGGCTTGATGACCTCCTAGGGTCCCTCCCAGCTCTGCCCTCCTAAGATTAACAAGCGTCTCCAAACTGCAGAACCCACTAGGAAGAGTCAAAGATTTTGCTCCGGCTTTTTTTAAAAAAATGCACCATCCACCATCTTCGAAGTTATCTTAAAGCTGTGTTTTTGCTCCAAATCGCTTTTCTCTCCTTTGGAATGACCCTCCCCAAGCCCCTCAAAAGGCGTTTGACAGCACCAGGCACCCTTTGCTTGCAAGAGTTACTTTTTTAGACATCATCTCCCATGAGGTTCTCGATGATGCCAGAGAAAGCCCCCCCCCGTGTGGGACACTCATACACACCGCTGAGTTAACACAGTGCAGCATTAATCATCTTTACAGCAAAGAGTAAAGCCCTGTCAAGCGGAAATTAGGCCGCCAAGGTGAGGCTCTTCTCAAGAAGCCAAGAAAATTTCTCTTGAGTCTTGACAAAAGTCCGTTGATGATCGGAGTCGATTAGACCGGTTGTGTCCCCCATCCCAGACAACTCCAAGAAAGATCTCGGCGCATCTGGGGCAAACCGGCAGCTGCTATTCCGCCTCCTTCATTGTATGAGTGTTGTGCAGCTGCCAACTTCCAGCAAACACACACACACACACACACAAAAACCTAGTAATGTTTAGAAATCTGTAAGATCCCCGCATCAATTCACTGTTCACCAAGACGAGCAGAATGGAAGAAACGAAAAGCTAAAGTCTGGGCAAACAGCTCCAGTTTTCAGTCCGAACCTTACAGGAGCTTTACCAGGGCTCTGTCCAAGGTGCTGAATGAAAAGCGAGACTCTGAAGGAGCAGCTGGGCCACACGGGTGGTAGAGAATAGGTCTTTTTTAAGCTGGCTTTTTAAAAAAAAAATCAAAATCTTTGAAGCCACATTCACCCCAGATTTGATTTTATGCACAGGTGGTAGAGAATAGGTCGTTTTTAAGCTGGTTTTTTTTTTTAAAAAAAAAATCAAAATCCTAGAAGCCACATTCACCCCAGATTTGATTTTAGAGAAGCTTCTGGGTGGGGCTCATTTCCATGGGATCAAAAATCCCTGCATATATTAGCTTAAAGGTTCGAGAGAAGCTCAGCCTGCAGCCCGGGGGGAAAGAGCATGAATTACAGCTTGCACCCAGACCATGGGGCCTGCCTGGGAAAGAATGCATAGACTTCTGAGTGCAAAGTCCCAGAGGTCTGGATTCGAATCCTGGAAGGGCCAGATATAGCTTCGGGCTTTGAGCTTTCCTCTCCCTCTTCTACCTCGGAGCCAGAGGCATAAATAACCATTTTTGGCACTCAAGGGTCAAAGATACCATCTCTCACCCACTCCGTCTTGAGATCTGGGTGTGAGTTTCCTCGTGAAAAAAAAGAAGAAAAGGGGAAATGGGTTATTGCCCCTTCCTGAAAGGACGTTTCTGCTTTCAGAAAGAGACAGCTCTGGTCAGAAAAACAACCTGGGCAGAAAGGAAGCTTGGCAGTGAGGTTTTGCAAGCTAGCTTTCTAATGACAGGAAGCCTTGTGGGGAAAAACAGGCCTTGACAAGCTAGCTTTCTACTTGCAGAGGAAACCTTTGAAAATGGAAGCTTTCAGCTCATTCTATGCCAACCTCAGCTCTTTCTACAGCAGGGCATTGGAGGAAGGGGGAGAATCCTCGACACTGAACCATCCTGTTTTCATCCAGGCCTCTCCCAAGTTCATCTCCATCTGCGCAGCCGCCTTCTCTTCTCCTGCCTTGAGAGATCCACCTGATGGATGGTGTTTCCAAAAAGGCTGGCTTGTGTGTGGGGGGGTGCCCTGCTCCACTTCAGCCTGGCATTAGCATGCAGGCAGCAGGCGGCAGGCATGGCCGTGCTTCTCTCCCTGGGAACAAGGTGTCTGGAATGAGTTGGCACCCTCTGGCCCAGGAAGGGGAGTTTTCACAGCACCTGTCTGTAAGAGAGAACTTTCCTTCCAGAGACTGAGAAAGACAAGGGCACAATGAACGGGAGGAAAAAGGTGGGGAATTCTGCAGAAATGTTGCCTTTTTAATATTTCTAAACTCTGGAGTTCCTTCCTTCCTTCCTT